ATGTTATCATTACGCTGTTGAATGTTATCATTACGATGCTGAAAGTGCGTATACCAATGTCAAAAAAAAAATTTGATTTCTTATTTGCATCCTAATTTGTGAACCTACTTATTAATATATGTTGTTATTACATGTAACAAGAAAAATGAAATGATTTTATATGTGGCTGTTACAATGTTGGATCTGTTATGAAACTGAATATGTGCAGACGTTATCATTTAGGTCTGTGGTGGATGTGGCAGGAGAGTGGGCCAATACCCAGGGTAGTTGGCGGGATATGTTGACACAACTGACAACCTAAGTTCGAAGCTGGGAGAGGGATGGCCTGCTGTGCTGACTAGAGAGCCACAATTGCAAATAGAAGTGTTTGTGGACATGTCAACAGGGGGTGAATGGATTCAGATTAGTTTCTTGATGTGAGTGCAATGTACGTGTGTGATCATTAGTTGTCCTACAGTGGCAGGGCCAGGTGTTGCACAACTCTAGGTTGACTGCCATGATTGTATATTAAGAGGGAGCTGATTATGTCACTTTGTGTAAATGAATGGATGAAATCTGCCCGTGTATTCATTGAGTGCACCAGTAGAACTAACTGTGTCAAATAGTTGACCTACAATGTATGAGCTGCCATGCAGCGGACCATGTTGACTGATGCAGAAGCTAGTATTCTGTTGCATACATTTACCTTTGTCAACGTTACATTAGTAACCGGTGAAGGCCATCAGTCACTAGATCGCAGTCCTAGTCCATGCTCAATCGCAGAGAGGTCTTGTATGTCAGTAAGAGAGAGGTTGATTTCGCCTTGATATACAGAACAAGTTTAATGGGCGGAGACGGTTTGAGCGCTTCGTTATGAACATACACACAATCTTCACGGAAACAACCTGCTAACTTTCTACTGGTATAAGGTTAGTTGCGTATCCTATGCAGGACGTTGCAGAACCAACCCCATATGTGTGGCTTTTCTAGGAAAATTTACGTCCAGTAGTTTGCCAATGCTTCCTGGACGGTCGGCTTTCTTGATACCACTGTCGAAACCAAAACAAGGCGCATGGCCCGCAGCAGGGATGGAACCCGGCATCCCGGCATTACAAAGCGTTCGCATCTACTTAGCCACAGAGCCGACTTCTACTGGTATAGCCACTAAATGAATCCAGTGACCTGTGACTAAACAGCTTAACGAAAAGGGAAACAAAAAAGTGGGTGTGTGGGTGTGTCTTACCTGGCGATTATGTATTTTAGGTTTGTGACTGGCTTGTAGGTCACTGAATGGGTGTGAAGGAAGAGCCACTTAGTGTTGTCTCCGAGGGCAAGTATTGACGATGAGATATTTTTAAAACTGCTTAGCTGCATGTTGGAAGGTTCGGATTCATTTTAGTTGACCAGGAATGGGTTCGGGTTTATTGAGAAATGCATCTCTCTGCGTGATAGGTTTGTGGGGGAAACGGGGAGTTTGGGGGGGGGGGGGTGGTGGTGTGTGTGTGTGTGTGGTGGTGTTTATGTAAAAGCCGAAAGGAAATCGAAAAACTCACTAGCTTGTGCAAGAAACCAGAAACATTAGAGAACAGCTTGAGTGTTTCATAGTCAAAAATGGCCAGACAAACGACGCCGGATGTTCCTTTTATGTCAAACTTCAACGCTTTTCTTACAGTGTTATTTAACGGCTATTAATTAATATTATTATTGAAGGCACGCTCCATTGAACTCCACTAACCATTACTAGCCATCCAGCGATGGGTTTGTAATCATTACTAGCCATCCAGCGATGGGTTTGTAATCATTACTAGCCATCCAGCGATGGGTTTGTAATCATTACTAGCCATCCAGCGATGGGTTTGTAATCATTACTAGCCATCCAGCGATGGGTTTGTAATCATTACTAGCCATCCAGCGATGGGTTTGTAATCATTACTAGCCATCCAGCGATGGGTTTGTAATCATTACTAGCCATCCAGCGATGGGTTTGTAACCATTACTAGCCATCCAGCGATGGGTTTGTAATCATTACTAGCCATCCAGCGATGGGTTTGTAATCATTACTAGCCATCCAGCGATGGGTTTGTAATCATTACTAGCCATCCAGCGATGGGTTTAGTAACCATTACTAGCCATCCAGCGATGGTTTTTGTAATCATTTTACCTAGCCATCCAGCGATGGGTTTGGAACCATTACTAGCCATCAAGCGATGGGGGTTTGGGAACCATTACTAGCCATCACAGCGATGGGTTTGGAACCATTACTAGCATCCAGCAATGGGTTTGGAACCAATTAACTAGCCATCAAGCGATGGGTTTGGAACCATTACTAGCCATCAAGCGATGGGTTTGGAACCATTACTAGCCATCCAGCGATGGGTTTGTAATCATTACTAGCCATCCAGCGATGGGTTTGGAACCATTACTAGCCATCAAGCGATGGGTTTGGAACCATTACTAGCCATCAAGCGATGGGTTTGGAACCATTACTAGCCATCCAGCGATGGGTTTGGAACCATTACTA